ATTAAATACAGTTCTGTGCAAAATTTCAAAATATAAAAAATTTTGCAGTTTTTTGCAAAAAATTCTGCAAAAATCTGTATTTTTATGAGTTTTTACAGATTTGTACTTATTTATTCACCCGATATACTTATCCGGTAATAGTATAGTGATGCAAAGTAAAATTATTTGATTTTGTATTAGCAATCAGATAAATATATGAGCTTTAGTCATGTGATTTTCTTGTTTCTTAATTGGTCCAAGAGGCCAAAGATGTATAAACTAGGCATCTCTAGCTAGAGATATCTAGAATTTCTTTTATGATTATTATTATTATTATAATTATAATTATTTTTATTATTATTATTATTATTATTATTATTATTATTACTATTACTAATGATACTGTCCGAAACTATATTAGATTACTAACCGAAACCAAAACTAGTTTTAAATATCTGAAACTAATTTTTGAAACTCTAAAACTTGTTAAAATTCTGAAACTATATTGAAATCTAAGCCTATACCGAAATTCTGAAACCATTTAAAATCTTAAATCTATAGTAAATTCCTAAAACTATAACAAAACTCTAAAACTATATCATACACGTATTCACTTAAAGCTGTTTAATTTACTGTAATATTGATATAATATCTATGTCATAAATTAAATATATTTTTGAATTCATTCAATTGAATGTGTTGATATCTAAAATGCTTATATTTATAGAGCTATGCATATACTATGTATGCATATTATTAGACACTAAAGTTATTTAACTAATTCTTATAAAGCGTAAATACTACATAATCATCCTTTTTATAATCACTATTTTGCTCACAACAAACAGCATGATTATAGAGATAGCAACAATATACTTAAACATTTATAAAATATATTATATATTTGAGTAAATAGGAGTAAATATTTAATGGATCCATATGATTCACTAACAGCAGGGACCAGCAAAAGTGCAATTTTATTTATAGAAATTTCAAATCTTTTAAATAAAATCACATTTTTTCTGTGTTTCTAACTAACAGAGCTTAAATTACATTACTATTTTACCAGCTATTTATTGTATCAATTCTTATTGTTTAAGATCCCAGAAATTAAATATTTAGCTATTAATCCTGATTTAGAAACTTATTATGCTCTTTTTGAAACCCAAGCAGAATATGAATTCACTCCTTACCTGAAGCCAATTCAACTATGGCTAATTAATGATGTAGCCAAGGAGACCACAGCAAAGCCAAAGTTGATAAGGAAAAATTAGTCCAGTATTTTATTTTGCATTTAATTACGTATAATTATAGTAAATTAAATTATTATAATATTTTAAATAGCTAGCAATTATTGTCAGGGATGATGCTGAAATTAGATGATACTGAAATTCATATAATCACATGATGATCTCCGCTATTATATAGGAAAAATTAAAAATAATTTTAAACTAAATTTAGTGTTATATAAACCTACTTTCATATTCTAACAAAAGTTGTTCTTCAGATTGTGACAATTCTAATGATAATAAAATCATCAAAAATAACCCACAAAATTGTCTGCAATAGTTCTTCAAAGTTTTAAAACGTTTGTTTATATTTGTTTACATGATTTGCAAGTTATAAAACAGCGATTTAAACTTTGAAGAACTATTGCAGAAGATCTAGTAGGTCATTTTTAATGATTTTACTATCATTAGAATAGTGTCAATCTAAAAAACAACTTTTGTTAGTATATGAAAGTAGGTTTACATAACACTAAATCTAGTTATAATATAATATTTAATTTTTCCTATAATAGCGGAGATTATTATGTAGTCACGTGAATTTTAGCATCATCTGATTTCAGCATCATCCTCGACAATTATTATACGTATTAGTTTAGATTTTGCTGACAGTACCTTATTTTGACTGTTAGTTCACAGATAAGTTTATTTTATAAAATTAAACCTATCTGAATTAATTATCTATAAAATAGACTTTTCTGTGATCTAACTATTTGTAAATAAGGTGTTTATGGATTATAACAACTTATATAATTCATTCTACTAATGAAGTAATTATAGCCTTAGATTGTTTTTGAAATAAGCAAAATGAGCTAATAATTTGATACCGGCATGGAGTGGTTTATACTTCTAAATTACTTTAAAATATAATACTATTTAATATAATAAAAAGAAATTAATAACTTACTTAAGTTTCCAAGTGATAAATTAGAATAAATAGCTTATTTTAATAATTATTAACTAAGTTAGGGGAAGGTATGTATGTATATTTGCTAAAAACCGGGTTGATAATGAATTATTATTCATTAAAGTAGACGAATTAGTGTCACAGAATACTATATATTTGTTGACTTCTACTATTGCTATTTAACTTGCTTAGCTATTAAATGATAACTGGAGTATCATACCAGATACTACCACCAAAAACTGTTTATTCACTAAGAATAAAAGTTAGAGATATTGGGAACCAAAGTTAGACACTTCCCCTATTTGGATGTCTTATATATTATTACTATCACTAATAATTACTACATTGTTCATACAATACTAATTGCTAATTATTACTACAATATTAATGCAATCACTCTTTTAAACTTTTAATTAAATCGTGATTATGCTATTTATGCAAATCCCAATCCGATCACATGGTATCATGCAGCACCATGACAATTAGCTTTAGTAATTCAATATAGTTTGGCCATGGCCATACTGGTTACTTAGTTCATTAGAAATAGTTCAGTTTATCCTGGTAATAAAGTGAGTGATCTTATATCAATATATATATGATATATACAGAGCATATATGCGATTACTTATATGCTTCTATATAGTGGTTTGTAAACATATTTTTTACCTTATTTATTTAATTGTGATTTTATAAAAAGATAATATATAATTTATTTATTTTTAAATTGCGTATTTAATATATATATATATATAATACTGTATATATTATGACTTTACATAAATATTATTCAAGATCTTGAACTAATTCTTCTAAATTAAATTCATAATCTTTATTCATGGCGACATCAGAATTGATATTGTCTTCATTAGAGACATACAAATCTCCTACTTGATTAAATGCTCGATGATGCAAATCTACAATATTATTAATAACAAAAACTACTACTTGATAATTAGGAATCTCTAAATCATTATCTGATTCTCTATTATTTTTATCTTCATAGTCTTCACTTATATTATTTTTATCCTTGGTATTAAACAGATAAGACCTTTGAATTAATGCTACTAATTCATCTTTAGTTTTGTTTTTCATATTATATGATAGCTCTTTATGCATATTAAGTAAATTATAATGTCAGATTTTAGTAAGTGATTCTAAATTTTTTAACCCCAATTGTTGTCTTTTTTTACCATAGAAACAACCCAAAATAAAAAAAATACGTTCACATGATGCACTATGTGGAGTTATCGCAAAAATTTTTTTGGCCAAAATTTTAAGATTATCAAACTTATCTTCAATAAAGCTCCAAAATATAAAAGGTGTCATCACTTGGCTATTATATCTAACTTTGTATAAAAATTCCTTTTTCTTAAATTTGATAATTTGAGCGATAAAAGTTTGTGCAGATAATTTATTTTTGTATCCTATTGATTGCCATAATTGCACAGTATAAAGGGTAATTTGTGTGTACATTCCCTTTCTTAAACCAGCACCTATAAAAAAAATTTAATTATTAAATATACAAATATAAATATATTAAAAATATTAAAGAATAATATATATACTGTATATACCTCGATATTCAGAATATAGCATATATGCTAAAATATATAGTTCTGCTTCAAGTTCATTTCAACGATTGTTAACAATTTCTATACATTGATTTTGAAATACAATCGTATCTCTTTCTTTTGGCATATGAAAAATAGTCACAATTAAATGAACTAATTGAGTAAAACAATCTGCCATTGTACAATCCACTCTTTCTAATTGCAAAATTGTAGCTCTAATTGAAGCAAAAATTTTGGATATTTGTTCCACGTCATGAAAGAATCCTCGAGACTTTAAAATTATTCGTATATCTTAGTTGGTAATAGCATCAGGATGATTATTTAAAACCTTAAAATTATTCAAAATATTAATGTTAGCACTATAGTATATTATATAAGAATATGTACTACAAAACAAAAAAAATTTACACTTTGAACATTCGTAAAATCAATTATACTAATTAATAAATTAAAAATCACTTTTTCTAATACAACTCTTTACATCGATTACCTGAACCAAATTTTCTGCTAACGAAAAACAAGTTTTTGTTGGAGAGTCATGCCTAACTTGTGGTTTGGTGAGAGGTTAATAGTTTTCTCTGCCCAGAACTCCTCTTTAGGCCATTCGGCATGCAAGCCAAGAGTGTTGGTATTCAAGATAACTGGCAGGTAGTGCCCTTGGATAAAAAATCTTGGTGGAGGGATGAAGAGCTCTTCTCTGTCGACGAAGCTTTTAGGCTGTTACTTCTTGGAAGAACACAGGGGAAACAACAAATAACTTGAGATTTCAATACACTTCTTAGAAAATTTTAAAGCTCTTGCAGCCATACACCTTTAACTATATTCCCGCTAGGTTTTAGATTTTTTTAGGAAATTTTTGCTAACAAAAAGTGGAAGAATTGGCTTACCCCCTCCAAAAGATTTGCATTGTTTACAGGTTCCGATGTAAAATGGGACACTCCCAATTATAGTAACCAGTAGTACATATTGTGCTATTTTAGTACCAGGTGGACTACTATCGGCAGAGTATAAATTAGAAGGTAAACAAGAGTCATGAGTCTATATATAGGATAATGACTGATGTCAATGCGAAGTAGAGGATTATCAAAGAATTTTTTACAGGGCTAACTCTACTCTGAAGGTGATTTAAATATAATGCAGACTTTATTTAGAGTAGAGCTAAATAGAAGAGTATTATATAATTTTTACAACAATCTGACATTTCTGTTAGGACTTATTTTTTCCTATCTGTTTTTTTCTTTTTTCACAATCTGTACCTTTTATTTTCTTTTTCGTTTGTTTTGTTTTTTCTTTTTTGGTTGTTTTTTTGGAAAAATTCTTTTTGTTTTTTTACTCCCTTTATCTCGTGCCCTTTGAAAAGAGTGAAAAATTAGAAGGGAAAAAATTCAGTATTGACATAGTAAACAACAACCTGCCAGTAATCAAGGGGTGTACCCAAGTTGGTACAAAATCCTTAGCAAGTTAAGGATCCTAAGAGAGACTAATTGTTGTTTTAGTGGGTCGCATTGGGCTTCGGCTTGGTGAGTTTTTATTAGATCAAAACATTAAACTTCAAAGAGATAATATACACACTATTAGTCTAGAAAGTGATTGAACAAATAAAGACAAGACTGCTTAAAAAAAAAAAAAAATACAAGTTTAAGTCTAAATACAGAATTAACTGTTTCATATACAGATGTCCAACTAGTTTCTATAAAAAGTTTTAATTTATCTCCACTAATATTCAATTCATCTATATATCATTTTAGATAACTTCCAGCTAAATAACTAGTTTTAAAAAAGTAGCATATCTTATTGCAATATTTTAAAATACGTGCTGGTAATTTATATTTTAAAATATTATGACTAATAAGATTAACAAAATGAACAATACAACAAAGATTGATAATTGAAGGATATTTTTGATTAATCTGCCTACATGTAGCAACAATAGCCAAGCATTATCAGAAATTACTCCAATGAATTTTCTGGTCCAATCTTAATTAAAATTTTTTCAATCTTAAATTCACCATATGACTAACATGAGACAAATCATGAAGGGCATATAAAAATTCATTATAATCAGGAGTCATTATTAAAAAATTATAAATCAAAGCACCCTGAAGATTTGTCCAACTATCTAATTCTAAATAGAATAATATAAATTTAATACAATTATATAAGTTAAAGTATTGTAAAAATATATTAAAGCTAATTACCAAGTGTCAAGTTATCGGCAGTTTTTAAGTATTTCTCAGTCTTCCAATAAATTTTAATCACTTCTTCATTTAATAATGTATTAGAAAGATATTTACAAGTAGGTAGTACATATAAAGATCGTAAAGATTTAAGTATATCGATAAACCATGGATTCTCAATTATGGAAAACGGAAGTCTACATATAGCAAAGGCTTTAATAATTGTACAATTAATTGCTTCCTTCTTAGGACTTGCCAAAAATTGATTTTGTTTTCCCAATAATCATTAATACTTATTTTCTGTTTTTTTGATTGATTTTTTGAACTAGCTTTTTCTTTTAATAGTTGTTTCTGAACCGCAATTTCAAGATATTTGCTTCTTATTTTATCATCAATGCTTTCACCTTCATATTCTTTTGCAAGATGCATCTCAAGTTCACTTGGACGTCCATGGCTAAATCGAGTATTGCAATAATTACATATTGCAAAAAAATGGCCAGGTGATTTTAATGGAGTTGTAGCAAAATACTCCCAAACAGGATCTAGTAGTTTTTCTCCAAGATGTTTTGAATGTGTTTCATTTTCAGTTTCTCTTTCAGCTTTAGATAAATAATGCGAAGCTATTGAAGATGAATCATATGAAGTTATTGAATAAATTTTGAGAAGCTATTAAAGGTAGCTTATGTGAAATAAACAACTTTAAATAAAAAAATTCATATATGCATATTTAAATTCATGTGCTATTCGCACAGTATCAATATTAACTTATTATTATCTATATATTTAATTAGAGATTTGGCTATCCATTTAGTTTTCGCAAAATAACCGGGTAAGTATTAGTTTTGAAAAAAAAAGCATTTATTAGTTCTTAATTTTTTTTCTTGCTTACAAATACAAAATTGACTCAACCTTATTATATTATTTATTGATCACCACTTTAGCTTTTAAATTAATAAATATTATACTAATAATTCATATCATAAAATAAATATAGTCTGATTCAAAATATAGCTTCGATCTATTTTCAAATTGATTACATGTTATACATGATAATTTGGTCACTTTGAAACTATTCAAGCCGACAATATGTATTAAATAATTTTTTCTCATTAACACGTTCTTTTCTCTATTGTTTTATATTAGCTTATCATTATATATATACTTAATTAGGGATTTGGCTATCCATTTGGTCTTCACAATGTAACCAGGTGAGTATTAGTTTTAAAGAAAAGGCATTTATTAGTTTTTAATTTTTCCCTTGCTTATAAATACAAAATTGACTCAACCTTATTACATCATTTATTGATCACCACTTAGCTTTTAAATTAATGAATATTATACTAATAATTCATAGCATAAAATAAATATAGTCTGATCCAAAATATGGCTTTGATCTATTTTCAAATTAATCACATATTACACGTGATTATTTGGTCACTTCGAAAATATTCAAGCTAACAATATATATTAAATAATTTTTTCTCATTAACATGTTCTTTTCTCTATTGTTTTATATTAGCTTATTATTATATACATGCTTAATTAGGGATTTGGCTATCTATTTAGTCTTTACAAAATAACCAAGCAAGTATTAGTTTTGAAAAAAAAGCATTTATTAGTTCTTAATTTTTTCCCTTGCTTACAAATACAAAATTGACTCAACCTTATTACATCATTTATTGATCATCACTTTAGCTTTTAAATTAATGAATATTATACTAATAATTTACGTCATAAAATAAATATAGTCTGATCCAAAATCTGACTTCAATATATTTTCAAATTAATTACATATTATACGTGATAATTTGGTCGCTTCAAAACTATTCAAGCTGACGATATGTATTAAATAATTTTTTTTCTCATTAACACGTTCTTTTCTTTATTGTTTTTAGTATTCTATTTAATACTCACACTAAATACATTATATACTGGCAATACATATATGTACAAATTAATTATATATGTATTTTAATATCAATATAAGAACTCTTGATAAATGTACAATGATTCTAAAAATGCTTAAAATAAATCTAAGATATCTGAATATGAGAAGTTGTTAGACAAATCTACTAATCACTATTCAAAGTAGTAAGTTTTTGGTAACCAATGAAATGAATTATGCTTTTTCTCTTTTTGGTATAAATGAGTGTCTAGCTAAATTAGTATATCAGTGATTGTAGCATATATGTACAAGACTGCTATTTAATTCATATAACTCTAGTAAGCTAGAGCTACGTATGTATATATGTACTGTATATATGCTATATATATGCAAACAGAAATATAATAGACTATTACTGTATATTGTTTGTATTTTTTACAATAACATATACTATTTCAATATAATGATTATAGAGATTTGTTTAGTTCTCACACCAAAGTCTATCACCAAAAGAAAAACTAATAAAACAGCAAAAATTAGTTAATTAATAAAGATTATTTAAATACTATATTGAATAATTAATACATATTGCACATGTAAATTATGTGAATTAGATATACCATATTATTAAAAAAACTAATATATATCAAAAAAAAACTCTTTATAAAGTTTAATATAGTACAAATATCTATAATAAAAATACTAAATTCTAACTTTATAGAGCTGTTAGAATGATTTTATAATGTAAATTTTTTTATTCTAACACTAACCATAAAAAGCTATTAGAATATTTTATAATACAAACTTTTTTATCTTTAACTTCCAATTTGTTAAGCATTTATTCAGATAATTATCAAATATCTGGATCTGAATTATAATAGTTTTGAGCTTTTGGTATAGTTTTATGATTTTAATATAGTTTTAAATATATAATATAGTTTTAAACTTCTAATATAGTTTTGAGCTTTTAGATAGTTTTAGACTTTCAGTATAGTTTCAAATTTTAGACTAGTTTTAAAAAAATACAGTAAATTATGCACGAAACTGGTAAAACTAGTTTCGGTTTTGGCTAATTCTAAATACTAAGTTTTAGGCAGCATTATTAACTATTACTATTATTATTATTATTATTATTATTATTATTATTATTATTATTTTTATTTTTTTTTTATTTTTTTTTTAACAGTTCGGTAGTCTTGCCTCTACTTTATTAGGTTTTATAATATTATATTAAAATTTTCGTAGGATATAAACCCTAACATACCTAAATTACAAGTATTAGCTCACTCGGCTCATTGTGACCAGAGTCCAAATTACCCATGTGCAACCTGCTATAGGCAGGATTCTTCTCCAAAATATTTTCTACTACACTTGCAAAGAATAAATCTTCACCGAAAGGTTTCCACCAGCTTGTCAAGACTACCTATTCTTCCTTCTAAACTTTTTCCACCTAAATTTAAGCAGAATAGTTTATCTCTTACTTTTTCGTAAAGGAAGAAAAAATATGCCACATATATGAAAGAAAACAAAACTATCTAGGAAAAGAAAGAGAAAAACAAAAAAAAAGAAAAAAAAACATTTAACTGAAAAAAAGGGGTACTAAATATAGTTCTATTATAATAGAAACAAGATAAAAAGAGCAGAAAAAAAAACATAGGTGTCCTGATGAACCACCTTAAAAAAAAACAAACAAAAGAAACAAAAAGAAGAAAAATACACTATTATAACCCGTGCTAGGTATAAAGGTAAAAATTATATACTAATTGCAACTAATTATATATCTTGGCTATAAAGCTTTGCTTTATCATTGGGACTCATCACCAAGATCAGGTATCTCCTAAACGGGGTTATCGATCTCATCCCCATACCATAGCACCATAGTGATAAACAAAACAAACACATGGTTGCATTCTACTGAGTTCGTCCAAATTAGGTAAGTATAAACAATGCTGATCTTTTGGAGGGGGTAAGCTGAAATGCTCACTTTTTGTCAAAATTTTTTGGTAAGGTTAGCAAAATACAAGAGAAAGAGAAAACACTTAAAACTACCAAAAGAGTATAGATTTTCTTTTACTAGAATCAACTATTTACTAGAGCCTGCACAGTATTTAGTCTTTTCAGTAAGTAATAAACTCTGAACTTGTCGGCAAGTAGAGTATAAGAACTACTTCTAAACGACAAGTGCTATGCCTGCAGTCAGTAAGTAATAAACTCTGAAACTGTTAGCAGGTAGCATATGAGAACTACCTCTAAATAACAGCTGCTGACTTACAGTCTCTTTTTCTATGTCTTACGTAAGAAGTCATAAACTTTTACTCTAGTGTACTGTATTTTTTTCTAGTAAAAAGTTTTTTAGAAATTGTGGTCCAAATGATCATCAGAAAGAGTTTTGAATATATTATTATTATTATTATTATTTATTATTATTATTATTTTTTTTTATTTTTTTTTATTTTTATTTTTTTTTAAGCGATCTTGCCTTTATTCATGTAAACTATTATATAATTTTTATACCCGAGTATACAAAATTCTTACAATTTATTGTTCTAACCTAATAAAAACTCACTAAGCATAAATGCCCAATACGACTGCTATAACAACTGTTTGTCTACTCAGAGATCATGAACTAACTCATGATTTCATATCCCAAAGAGTACCCCCTTTGATTACAGACTGGCTGTTGTATACCTTGTCAGGATCACCAACCTTTCTCCACCAAAATCCAGACAGAATAACTATCTCCTACTCTTCTATAAGCAAGAATATATATACCACGTTTATAAAAGACCAAAAACGTTTAGGAGAATAAAAGGAAAATCAAAACCAAAAACCACAAAAAAAAGCTATTCTAAATATAATTCCATCATAAATAGACCAGCAAAAAAGTAAAAAAGAAAAGTTAGCGATTCCGACGAGAAAAAGAAAATTGTACTATTATAACCTATATCAGGTTAGTATAAAAATTATATGCTTATAGCAATGTTGCATATCTCTATTGTAAGGCTTCACCTATACTATTAGTTTCTCTCCAACCCTACTATTCCTGGAAGTCTTCGCCCAAGTTCTTCTAATCAGATACTGTCATCATTCCACACCAACTCTTCAGTTTCCTGCAGCTCCGAGCCAAAACCGGTAGCACTATGTTTGCTTATACCAGACATGTGATTGCCATCTATCACATCAACCAGATATGGAAATGTAAATACTGTGTAACTTATGCTGATCGTTTGGAGGGGGTAAGCCAAATCTCTACTTTTTGTCAAAATTTTTGGAAGATTAGCAGCAACAAGAGAGAGTATAATAAAGGAGACCACTTGTATAGGATAAAAGAGTGCGGCTTGAAACCAAAAAGTTTCAAAATTTACTGTATCCCTGAGTTCTCAAGAAGTCCAAAAGGCTTCGCTAACAGAATTTCTTCTACCAAAATTTATATACAATAGCGAGTGCCACCTGCTTTTTTCTCCTCTGCATCTTTGCTTCTGGCTTGCATGTTAGATATAGAAAAGAGTCCTGAGACAGTCGTTGATCTCTCTAAAAACAACCA